GGATATAAAACTATATAATGTGTCATGAAGTATAATCCCTTAAATCCATGAAGGATTGAAATTGTATGAAGCAAGTCCCTGAAGGACGTGTGCCTGAAGCACAAATTTTGTACTCAATACTAATATGTATAAATTGCCTCAATGAGTACACTAATTACGATATGATTGCAACACATTACAGCTCTTGAAGAGTTGATAATTAATCAAAACTCCTGAAGAGTTAATACTTGGTTAAAACTCCTGAAAAGTTCAAGAAACATTTGCCTCGGCCTGAAGATCGAGCATTATGCCAACGAGATTCTTGCTTATACTAAGAAAGTATTGAAGTATTTTATGTGGATTGTCTGTTGGGCACTTAAATGATTTTCCGGAAATATACTGGACCGGACATTGTATTTTCCAGATAGAGCTCAGCTCCGTCACCATCACTTTGGGATGATGTGAGGCATATGTGATACTATCTCCACATAACACCATATACGGGCGTATTCTTTTCAAGTGAACTTACAAATAGCCCAGGTTTTGTTAGATACACGGACTTTGGAAATTTCTATGATTTACATAGAGATAGCTCACTGGAAATATATTTACTTACTCAACTACATGAATTGTTGGTGGCTACATCATTCACTCAATTTGAAATATCTTTTCTCTAGAAAGATAGTCATGAAGATATCAGGGGGAGATATTCTTCAGGGGGAGCATCCAACAATATTACAAGATTGACTCACAGAAGCAGTGTCAACTATGATATCCAGAAAGATGATCAACAGTATGGCTTAAAGATATTTTGCCAAGTATCAGGGGGAGCGTGCTGTCGATAAAGACCTTCACACACTGTACTCTTTTTCCTTCGTCCAGGTTTTTGTCCCACTGGGTTTTTCCTGGCAAGATTTTAACGAGGCAGTGTCGCACGCGCATCAATATACACAGATTTTTATGTTACACATGGTTATGTACTCTTTTTCTCTTCGACCAGTTTTTGTCCCACTGAGTTTTACTGGCAAGGTTTTTAACGAGACATATTCCATAGTGGTCTTCAAGGGGAAGTGTTGTAAAGTCTTGAGTGGAGCCCACACATTTGGAAATAATGAAAGACATAATGATGAAAGTATTGTGAAAGTGGAAGACATGATTACACACATTCACGGGAGTCAATAACATTTGCCTACAAAATAAGGCTTCCTCCTCATTTGTAATACATAGAGAAAATGAAAGAATCAATGAAAAACGTCAGACTTCTATGCTTTCTCTCTCAATTCTCTCTATAATCTCTTTAGTTTTATAACAATTTTCAATTTATTATTAAGTTTTTTTTATTAACATTTAATGGCTCATTTTCAACAAATATTTTATATCTCGTGGCTTTTTTGGTAATTATACATACTCAAAGTGCTTATGTATGAAAGTTTACCAAACGCTTTGATTACTCACAATACTTTTTCCAATGTAGTTTACTAAACACCTAACTGATTTTTTTCACAGTTGATTATTCTCGCAGCACAGCAGAAACAGTTTTTTTCAAAAGCACAGTAATGCCAAACTAGCCCTAAGAGAGATAGAGAGAGATGCTGCAAAAATCTCAGACTGGAGCGACCCATTTGAGATTACCCATTTGTATAAAATAGGTAAGAATTTCTCGGTAATCATTGCATAATACTAAAAGGAAAAAGTAGCTCTGAACTCACAAAACCATACAACAAGATAATTCTGATCAGCTAAACGCTGAGATTTTCACTTCATACCATGCCTAAATTAGTGTGTGTGTGTGAGAGAGAGAGAGTGTAAGAATCCATACTAAGTTGTACTATTAAACTATGAGAGAGAGAGAGAGAGAGAGAGAACAATCCATACTAAGTTGTACTATTAAACTATGGGGGCATCAAATATCTAATCTAACCCATCAACAATTCACCCTAAACTTTTGGCTTGATGGTCTGTACAAACTCAGTGAAGCAGCAAAACTCTTTCCTACTCAATTCACACTGGTTGCAGCCTGGTGAATTTCATCATATGCGCCCGTCTCCGCATTGAACGAGTACCTATATTTGGAAAGAAAGAAAAAACATGTATCAGGTTGCAAGACACATCTTTGGCAATTACATGAACCAACTTACCAACCCATTAACCAAAGTAGTGTAAAACTTCCTTTCACATCTATTCCAATAACTCAGTAGATTATGGTGGTCAAGCCAAACTCTCATTTAAATCTGTGTCATCTTTCTATTATTGTCCCCAACATTATCAGTAAATCCAGAAAGTTTTCAGTTGCTATGCTTTGAGTTGTCATGACTTGTAATTGGTAAGCCATGTTCCTGACCAATAAAACCCACCACACATAATGACAATTTCAGATGGAAACTACTTCAAATATAATGCACTTGAAGTCGAACACAACAGCTGTAAGTACTGCAAGTACCCCAAACAGACTTTATTTGCCATCTAAACCACTCTTGCTTTCCTTTTTTCTGGATGGGAGAATAAGTAATTGAAATTAGTGTGAAAGAACTGAGAATAAGTAATTGAAACTAACCACATAGTTACAATGAAGAAAGCAAGGTATGAAAGGCCCAGCCCAGATAATAACAGAACTGTATTTAAAATTTAGTGTGAAAGTGCAGCTAGATCCACTAATGTGCAATTTAAGAACTTAAAGGACGTAAGCCTAGAAACTTCTAACCCTTAGACTATATAAAGAACTGAGAATAAACCAGGACCTATCCAACTAACAAGTTACCAACCAGTATGAAAATTCAAAACATGCAAACAAAGACTTATCCACCCAAAAAAGAGCATTGCATAAAGAACAAAAGGCAATGGATGGATGACAGGACCCACCCCGAATTCATCGGAACCCGGAACAAATCCTGTGGTATTTCCGACATCAAATTGATGCCGGGCCCACTTACTAACGTCGTAATCTCTCTTCCAAATTAAGGAAAAGCGAAACGAGACTTTCTGCCGAAATTTCGGCACAATCTCCTCTAAAAAATGGACATTTCCCAAAATTTTCAACATGTTAAAAACAAAGTTTAAAATTCCCAAACTTCAGCATGCACAATAGAAAATCCATAACGATTAATACCAAGATAGTTCTCATATACACCTCAAGCATTTCTTTTAAAACTTCATAAATCTATAATCTCATGCAGTCAAAAGACTCACAATCATTCCTCTCATAAATCATGCTTTTCAATGTACAAAACGATACACCACCCAACACTATGTCATTTCATAAATCACTACAAGAAAAAACCTTTTCTGAGATCGGAGTTTTGGCGACCAACGCAACTTTGGTCGCCCAATAAAGTGATTAGCGAGGACATTTTGTAATTTCGTCGCCAAAAATTTCGTGAGATTTAGGCATGAGTTAAGACTTCAACCAACTGATTGGCGACAAAATATTTTCAAAGGACACTATTTCAACACTGATCATTGAGAGGTAGGCATCTAAAGTACTAAAACTACATTGTTTTACTTGTTTGGTCTTTTGGGTTTTCTGGCTGATTTTTAGACTAAATAAAAAATTTCCCAAACCCATCGATTCCCCCAATTCCATTCTCTGTGCTAAAATATGATATTGGGTTTGAATATGTTAGGTTCTTCTTTTATTCTTCTCCATAAGGAGGTATATATAAGAGTTCACATGAGTGATTTACAAGGAATTAGATCCAGTAAAGGATTAGGAAAGTATCTCCTAATTATACAATGATTTGACAACTATATAAAATAGGAAAGTAAATCCCTTAATTAATCAAGGAAATAAATCTATAAAATAGGAAAGTAAATCCCCTAATTAATCAAGGAAATAAATCTCCTTGATTAATTAGGAGACTCACTTCAACACTCTGGTACCCACTCTTCATCTCCCACACAACACAACCGACACCTTCAAGTCAATCCTCCATTGACGCTCACAGCACAATCCTTCGTCGATGACCAATCACTCATGTACCCATCCTCTCTTCCTACCCCTTCCAAATTTCTCATGCCATGAGTTATTTCCCATTCTCTCTTCCCCTCCAGATTTCTCTCCTCCACTTGCTGCTACATCAACACTCTCTAACTCAGGCAAATACCAGAGATTCTCTACAATCTCTTCACCCACAGACCAACTTGTTTATTTAACCAATTTTCTGTAATTATTTGATTTTGATTCGATAAAAATAAATCTGGTCTGTTTTTGTGATAATAAACGAGGTCGTAGACAGCCCCTCAACCACTGAGCTGACAAAGTCCTCCTTCACGACTTCTTCATCTGCTGCTTCTATGTTAGGTATAGGTATGACAACTAGTTTCTCTGTTTTTAATTTTTTGGCTGTGCAAGCCGACATCATAAAAGTATGAAATGGATCATCGTCTTTTTGTTTGTTGGTAGATTCTTTGTCTGCCTTGCACCTTAGAACCATTCCTTCTGTACATGCTAGCCTTTTAAAATTGAATGAATCAGATCTAACAAACAAGCACCCATTTCCCCATCTCCTTCCACTTCATTCAATTGAGGTCTATCTCTCAGTTTCATTTTTTTTATTTTTTGTGCAATTGAATTGGTGGGGGTGCTTATATTTTTGGGTGGTTTTTCAGTTAAGTGTTGGAATTGGTTGTGATTTCCTTTATTAATATTCAGACATTTTGGTGCTGCTAGCACTTGGAATTAATGTACTGTTGTCTCAGCTCTGCCAAGGACTTAAGCACTATTGTTGTACTCAAATAAGCATATCCACTCTCTGCCCCCAGACTATCTACCCTTCAGTTCTCATTTTCATATCAATTTTCTCTGTTTTTGTCCACTGATAATGGTTCTAGACTCAAATAAAAAGAAAAAACACACAATTAATAATTAAAAAAAAGATTATGAAAAACCAAAATTACTTGCTAAAGCAAATAAATATCACAAAATACACAAGAATTAAAATACAAGACTGTTTCAAAAAAAAAAAAAATACATAAACCAAATAAAATCATGGAGCACTTCCTAATTCCATAATAGGATCCTATAGTTTTGTCCTCTAGATCTCTTCTCTCGGGTTTTCACGCATCGCTTCTTGGGGCTCATCACTTGAGCCTCTAAAGATCACACCCTTCTCTCTTGAACTTCTCTCGTGATCTCGTTTGCGCTTCCCTGGACTCCCCAAGGCCTCCAGCTGTTTTTGCATGTCTTTAGAATAAAAATGGTACCATTTTTAGTAGATTTTCATTTTCTACATACAATATTTGAAGCTGGCGTTGGTTCTCCTTTGCCGTCTTTGCCCTATCCTTTTTCAATCGTTTGATGTCATGCTGATAATCATCAACCAAATTCCGCTATGCCACCAACTGAGCTCTCAGCACTTGCACCTCATGAGATTTCGCAATGAGGCGAGGCCCATGCCCCACACTTGCAATAGATGCCACACTTTGTACGCTTAGTGCCATGACATCGCTCACTAACCGGTTGTCATCCCTCGTTCTCATCATCACGTGCAAATCCCTAAGAGTCACCAAACTCCTCGCAACTCTAATGGCAACATTATTGTCAATGAGTAAAGAGTCGTTTACTGTCACTGGCCCTCGTGAGGAAACAAAGTAGGGCATCCAAACAAGTGCAGCTCCTTGTTCCCATGTCTGTGTTGGCGGAGCGAGGTTAAGATCAAGTTGGGAAGGAATACGACATTTTCTTTCTGCTTTTTTTTCCTCTTTTCTTCTTTCTTTTCTCACTTTTGCGTGGTGGTATTTTTTCCTTCGTTTCCTTTTATAGACGTCAATTATGACAAACCTTAGCATTTTCTGGCTTTCCCACGTTCCTCGAGCTCCACAGCCTTCTGGCTATACAACCATCCCCAACTAATTTGTTGCGACATGTCCTTTCTGAACTAGTGCGTTCAACAAAGTCATCACGACTTCCCATGACATCCGTAATTTCCGCTTGGGCCCACTCTGTCTTGTCACGTCTCACCATAGTCCGACAAAGCCCGAGTCTCCTTCTACAACCCCATTAATATCTCTCCCTCTGCTTCTCTGCCTTCTCACCAATCTCTCTCACCGATTCTCCAGATATTTCCTCAAACGCTTAATACTTGCGAAGCTTGCAAGTTCTTCGAAAGAAAATGTGAGAAAGGATGCATTTTTGCACCGTATTTCATGCATGACGAGGCTGTTACGAATTTCTCCTCCATCCACAATGTCTTTGACGCAAGCAAAATGTCAAAGATTCTATCTGAGCTTCCAATGAGTGAGCGCACTGTTACGACATGGACGATGACAGTTGAAGCTCAAGCCAAGGTTACCGATCCCATATATGGCTGTATTTCCTATATTTTATATCTCCGACAACAAGTTAATTAATACCTTTTGACCATGAACTTATGGAAAACTAGATATATTCAATTAATCGATGAGTATATATATGATTTTTTTTTTATTTTTAAACTTTGCAGGTGTTGAACATACAAGCACAGTTGGATGAAGCACATGTACAGTTAGCTTGCGCAGTTGCTCCTGTTGCAAACCGTAATGAGCAAGTTTCAATGACAAACCTTAATCAAGCTCTGAAAAATAGTAACAAGCAAGCTGCAGTGGCAAACCCTACTTAGTTTGAAAGTTTACCACAATTCAATTTAACCCATACTAAATGGGAGTTATGAAAATTCAGTGAATATTCCAACAGAAAATGTCTCAAATGGTTGGGTCAATAATGAGGGTACTTAGTCCATGTCTTTTTTGGACATGGAATGGAGTTTTGAGGATGTTGATGAATTACTTGTAGATCCGTGGTTTTCAACATATATATCCAACATTATAGAAGGAAACTATCATTTACATTTTATGGAAACTATCATTTTCACTCCCACTCAATATGGGTTGAACTGAATTGTGGTAAACTTTCAAACTCAGTAGGGTTTGCCACTGCAGCTTGCTCGTTACTATTTTTCAGAGCTTGATTAAGGTTTGTTATTGAAGCTTGTTCATTAGGGTTTGCAACAGGTAGAGGTGGTAATATTGTACACGACCCGTTAACATGACACGAATTCGCACGAAAAAATCAATATTCAGGTCTGAGTTAACGTGTCGTGTTGATATTGAGTTGACCCGTTAGCCAACCGTTAAGCTATCGTGTTGTGTCGTGCTAATTCACGAATACCCGTTAACCCGTTAAATACAAGGGCGTTTTTCCCGGTAAGCTATCGTGTTGTGTCGTGCTAATTCGCGAATACCCGTTAAATACAAGGGCAATTTTTGTAAATCTCTCTCTCTCTCTCTCTCTCTCTCTCTCTCTCTCTCTCTCTCTCTCTACTTGAGAGTCTTAAGCAGCCACCACACCACCCATCATGACCCACCCCAGCCACCTCCCCCTTCTATCTCCCTCCCTCATCCTCTTCGACGACTCTTCTTCCTCCACTCCCACCATCTCCGCTGCCCAAACCTATGAGGGCCACTCGCAGGGCATCTCCAATCTCACCTTCGAACTCATCTATGGATTGTGTTGATTTTTTAATTGATTAAAATTTCTATTTTTGTTTTTATTTTTATATTTTTAAATTTTTAACAGATTATCGTGTCGTGTCGTGTGATTCGCGAATTGTAACGGTTTCGTGTCCGACATTTTCAACCCATTTTCTTATCGTGTTGTGTCGTATCAACCTGTTAAGAAAATTAGGTTGACACAAACACTAAAAAAATGACACGAATGCCAACTCTAGGTTCGACATTTTCAACCCGTTTTCTTATCGTGTCGTGTCGTATCAACCTGTTCAGAAAATTAGGTTGACACAAACACTAAAAAAATGACACGAATGCCAACTCTAGCAACAGGAGCAATTGCGCAAGCTAACTGTACATGTTCTTCATCCAACTGTGCTTGTATTTTCAGCACCTGCAAAGTTCAAAGAAAAATCATATATATACTCACCGATTAATTGAATATATATAGTTTTCCACAAGTTTAAGGCCAAAGGGTATTAATTAACCTGTTGTTGGAGATATAAAATATAGGAAATACAGCAATATATGGGATCGGGAACCCTGGCTTGAGCTTCAATTGTCATCGTCCATGTTGCAATGGAGCGCTCACTCATTAGAAGCACAGATAGAATCTTTGACATTTTGCTTGCGCCAAAGACATTGTGGATTGAGGAGAAATTTGTAATAGCCTCGTCATGCATGACATACGATGCAAAAATGCAATATTTCATACATTTTCTTTTGAAGAACATGTAAGCTCCACAAATATTAAGCATTCGAGGAAACATCTGGAGAATCAGTGAGGGAGAGATTGCAGAGAAGGCAGAGAAGCAGAGGGAGAGATATTATTGGGGTTGTGGAAGGAGACCGGGGGTTTGTCGAGCTATGGTGAGACGTGACAAGACAGAGTGTGCCCAAGCAAAACTTACTGATGTCATGGAAAGCCATGACGACTTTGCGAACGCATTCATTCAGAAAGGACATGTCGCGACAAATTAGTTGGGGACGGCTGGAAAGCCAGAAAGCTGTGGAGCTCGAGGAACGTGGGAAAACCAGAAAATTCTAAGGTTTGTCATAATTGACGTCTATATAAGGAAACGAAGGAAAAAATCACAATGACGTAGAAGAGATAAAAGAAAGAAGAAAAGAGAGGAGAGAAAAAAAAAAAAAAGCAGAAAGAAAATGTCGTATTCCTTCCCAACTTGATCTTAACCTCGCTCCGCCTACTTTGCTTCCTCATGAGGACCAGTGACAGTAAACGACTCTTTACTCCTTGACAACGATGTTGCTATTAGAGTTGCGAGGAGTTTGGTGACTCCTAGGGATTTGCACGTGATGAGAACGAGGGATGACAATCGGTTAGTAAGCGATGTCATGGCACTGAGCGTACAAAGTGCGGCATCTATTGCAAGTGTGGGGCATAGGCATCGCCTCATTGCGAAATCCCATGAGGTGCAAGTGTTGAGAGCTCAGTTGGTGGCAGAGCGGAGTTTGGTTGATGATTATCAGCATAACATCAAAAGATTGAAAAAGGATAGGGCAAAGACGGCAGAGGAGAACCGACGCCAGCTTCAAATATTGTATGCAGAAAATGAAAATCTCCTAAAAATGGTAGATTTTTATTCTAAAGACATGCAAAAACAGCTGGAGGCCTTGGAGAGCCCAGGGAAGCGCAAGCGAGATCACGAGAGGAGTTCAAAATAGAAAGGTGTGATCTTTGGAGGCTCAAGTGATGAGCCCCAAGAAGCGATGCGTGAAAACCTGAGAGGAGATTTAGAGGGCAAAACTAAAGGCTCCTATTATGAAATTAGAGCAACTCCACCCATTTGCCATTTGCCATGGCAAAGGCGGGGCTAGGGCAGCCACTATTCAAGTGAATAGTGGTTGCCCTTGCAAAAAGCAATGTGTGTTTCCATCCGTTGACATGGCAAAAGGCAATTACTATTCATTTTTTTGTTTTTTTCACAAATTTTTTTTACCTTAATAATTAATTTGGATAATATTTCGGATAAGTTTTTTTTTTAAAAAAAAACCTAAAGAATTAACTTTGAGAATATTTCGGATAAGATTTCTTTTAATTATATTTTGTTTGATGTATTGAATGTGTTGAAAATTTTGTGTAGAAAATGAAAAATAATAGAAGGAGAAGAAATTATAAGAGGATTTTGTGTTGAAAATGAAAAAGAATGGTAGGTATTTATAGAAGAACAGTTCAGAACATTTTGGTGAATATTTTAAAAAAATTTGAATTTTTTTCACATTTTTTTTTCCCAAAAAAAGCTCAGCCATTGGATTTGGAAAAAAAAAAACCCATTGGAGCACCAGAACACGCCACATGCCGCATGACGTCACCTCCCCCTCGGGCTGCAGGTCGGGCGAAACTTGCCTTCGGGCCAGCCCGTCTTCGTGGGTCCCACTCCCAGCCCGGGCTTGGGCTCCTCGCTGGAACTGGATTCCCCCCCCCTGACAGAGGCTGGGCTTACCGCTGGAGTTGCTCTTAGAGCGATTCCACCGGATAGCCCTGGGGGGGGGGGCCCAAAAAACAAAAACCCAGTTCCAGCAAGGAGCCCAAGCCCGGGCTGGGAGTGGGACCCACGAAGTCGGCTGGCCCGAACGCCAGTTTTGCCCGAGCTCGAGCCCGAGGGGTGATGACGTCAGGCGCGACGTCATCGCGCGGTTTAAATTTTTTTAACGTTGTCGCGTGCAATGCACGCGCCAACGCTAAAAAAAATTTAAACTCGCGTGCTCTAACGTCAGCCCTGCGCAAGCTCCAACGGGTAGAAGACAGGTGTCAAGGCCTAGGCGCTCCGATCTGCTTCTCTCCTCCAATCCAACGGCTGTCATTTTTTTGGCAATAAAATTATGAAAAAAATTCGAATTTTTTTTAAAAAAATACCAAAATATTCTAAATTTTTTTTTTTCTATAAATACCTTTCAATACCCTTCACTTTCAACACCAATCCTCATACATTTTCTTCTACTTCTACTATTATTCACTCTTTACTCAACATTTTCCTCTCATTCAAATTGTATTTTTATTTCTTATATTTATGGCTTCTTATATCGAAACCGGAGGGGCATGGAGCACCATGGAAGATGTTTCCTTATGTGAGGCTTGGCTCCAAATTTGTCATTGTCCCGTGACAGGCAATGAGATGAAATTTTTTCATATGTGGAAAAAAAATTCATGCCGAATTTTGTGAAAAAATTCTGGGGTCGACTCGTACGAAAATGGCATTGTCTAGTAGATGTAAAATTCTCAATAAAGAGTTGGGAAAATGGAGGGATGCCTTGGCAAAAGCGATGGACAACTATAGAAGCGAGGAAAATCTTAGTAACGAGGTAAGTATTTTGTAATTTGAGTTTTATTAAGTTTAATGTCCTAATATATATATATATATATATTATGTTTATTGCATTTTCAATATTTTGTTAATATTTCTTGCATATTCAATATTTTGTTAATATTTCTTGCACTTCCAATATATTTGTAAGGTTAATTGCATTTCCATTATTTTTTTTTTGTTACTTGCATATCCAATATATTTTAAATATTTCTTGCATGTCCATTATTTTTTTGTAGTAGATGATTCAAGCACAAATGTGGTCTAGTTCAATTGGACAAGGCAAAAAAAGTTTCAACCATCATGAATGTTAGGACGTGGTGAAAAATTGCAAATGCTTCAGAATAATTCCCACGGGTCCCGCCGTTATGTTAAACGAGACGCCACTCCGTGATTCAATGACATCGGATCCACCTGTCGATTAACCTATGAGTCAAGACTCACCCATCGAAAAGGAATAGAGGCCCATTGGCCAAAAGGCTGCGAAGGCAAAGAAACAGGGTAATTCGAGTAGTAATACATCAAAAAATTTGGAGGAAATTGCAAGGCAGAGCGCCATAAGAGTTGAAATGGAGCAGAAACGCCAAGAGAACGAGATGGCAATGCAAGCACAATATGCACAAGAAAGGGAGTATTTGCGCAAAAAAGAGATGGACAAGACAGATCGGGAAACCATGGCGATGGATACAAGCCATATGTCCCCTAAAACAAAACAATTTTGGAAGCTAGAACAAAGGGATGTTATGAAAAGAAGACTTTTCCAGGATGATGGGCCTAGCAACACGGATTGGTTAAATGAAAACCATTAAATTAGTTGGCATACCTTTTATGTATTTGTATTTTTCATGTTTTCTATTAAAGTTCTTGTAATTCATGGATTTTATTTTAGTAGTAGTAATTCTTAATGGCTTGTATTGGCTTTCTTTATTTAATAAACAAAGCATTCAATAAAATACCTTTTTATTCAACATATTCCATACATCAAACAAAACATAATTAAAAGGAAAAACCACAACCAAAGCATAATAAAAAATAAAATAAAACTACAAACAAGGCACAATAATAATAACAAACCACAATCAAACCATAATATATAAAAAACAACACAACCAAACCATAATAAATAAAAAACAACACAACCAAACCATAACTAAATAAAACCTAGCCAAAGCATCTATTCTCCATCATTCATCTTCATTGCCTTTCACTGCCCATAGATGCTCCATCAAGTCAAGTTGACGCCTTTCATGAATATACGAAGATTGCATCTTTGTATATCGATCTATCATACGGGTCATGAAACGACCATCCCTAACCAACGGATCCGGCTCAAACGGTTCTCCACTTGACCCCATGGGCCTTTCATAAATTCGTGTCAAGGCCGTGCTCATGGGATCCGGTTCGTAGACCTCTGCAGCTTCATAATCATACTCATCCTCCACAATCATATTATGGAGGATGATGCAAGTTATCATAATGCTTGGCAAACTTGTGTTCATTCTTGCAGGAATTCATATCGTTGTTTGAGAAGCATGAGTTGTATCTTCATGGCTATTTCACACACACACCTTGAGCATGATTTGAGTGAGATTGTGGTAGCACTTGAATAATGTTTAGAACTTCCTTAGTGTTTGTTTTGTTCCTTATTGAGCCATGTCTACGAAGTTTAAAATTTCTGTCTGGTTGGAAGGTTAACGTTTTTTTTTTGTTTTTTGTTTTTTGTTTTTTTTGGTTTTTCTTAAGGACTAACAAATCTATTAAGTTTTCTAACCATTTTGTTTTGTAGAGTTAGAAAAACGTTTGTGGGTATCGTATCTGTTAAACCCTCAGGAGACACAACTCCTCCTACTAGGGATGCCTAGAGGTTTAAAGGCTTGTTGCATACGCTCAATGCAATCGAGTTACCTACGAAAGTGGTATAGTTAACTTCTTATTTTGTTTTATTTTTCTTCGTTTTCCTTTTGTTTTGCTTGAGGACTAGCAAAATCTAGGTTTGGGGGTATTTGATCGGTTCATAATTGTATATCATTTTGTACCCTTCTAGCTTATGATTTGGTTATGTT